ATTGTGTATAGTTTGAATTGTATCCTCATCTAGATCTCGGTGTACGGCTGGAGTCCCCTCATTGGCATTGAACGGCTCGTGATTGTGAACAGAAACCTCAACTTCAAAGAACCAATCACCTAGCTGTAGATCTCTCGTGAAAGCTCCTTTCATAAGGCAATTGGACTTCTTTGTACGGGTGTTCTTCTTCCTGTTGGCCGGCTTGTATATACCCGCACAATCGCAATGAACAAGCACCTTCCGCACCTGAGGTGGAGTGCGCTTGTCCATTTTATTGTTGTATTTGACGATCGCGTATCCTTCCTTCTTTGCCCAATTGTTGACGGACTTCATGCCCTCATCTACGGATGCATGGCGGCCCCAGGGGGGCGGCCGGAGCGGCATGGCGGTGAGGGTGATGATGTAGAGGACGTGGTGTTAATGCATTACGAGTGCGCAGTTGATGTAAATTCCTTATTGAGCACAAATAGTGAGTGGATATGATTGGTGGAACAACATTAATACGGGCCGGCGCTAGGCTAGATGTAGGGGGGGTGGCAGGAAGAGAAAAGGGGGGTGATGCGGAGAGAATAGGGGGGTGGTAATTAAGCTCGTCCATTAAGAATAGGTTACAAATATCGAGTGCATTAATGCGTTGGGGGGTGTTACGGTAACTACCCGCAACACCTTACCCACCACAATTCGCCTATTACGTGGCTTCGTCACCTGATCTCGCACGGAGCTCGTGAGCTCGCGCCATACGCACGTCCCGCCGGTATATCTTCTTCGCCGGCGCTCCTAATTTCCTGTTCTTTACACAATGTCTTGATTCTCCACGTAGTATTGTACCTAGCACTTAATCAACGCTCCTTCTTGAGCCCTTGAACTCCTGCTTGTAGCGCTAGCGTGACATTACATTGTGTCCCTTCACCACTATGACGACCCCGAACGACCCGACTGCCATGCTTATGGAGCTGGTTTCTTCCATAAAGGAACAGCTTGCCGCAGCACAATCCTCGTTTGCAGGAGCCCTGCAGAACCAACAATCTGCCTTTACAGGAGCCCTACAGCGCCAACAATCTATCTTTACGGAAGAAATAGCAGTGCTACAAGAGGAAATATCAACGATCCGGTCCTAATCCTCTCCCCCTACACCGCCTACGCCCAACCAACAATCTATAGAGAACACCGTTCACGAATTGAACAATAGCTTAAAGCCTGTCGCCCCTACGGACCGTATATAGACCCCAACCATTGAGGTCACACCTTCTCCCTCTTCTAATGCCTCCCCGACACATCCTGACCCGCCCACCTGGAAATCCGACCGATTAATCGACCCTCCGATATTTAACAGCCGCCGAAAGGAACTCCCCAGCTTTATCTAAAGACTATAATATAAACTAGAAGGAAACGCGGACTGATATCCTACTAAACGAGCCCGCCTGCTATATACGCACTCTCGTCTAGAGCATAACCCGTTAACGCTAATAGATCTTTTAATAGATTGGG